ATAAAGGATTTTCTATTTTATTTTATTATAGAGTTGGTTTGTAGCATTTTTACTATAAACCATATTCAGTGAAAAATATTTAGAGTGAGCTAGATTGGAGATGCCCTTAGAATCCACAAAATACCATCTCAAAATTCTGAATAAAATTCAAACAATAGAATGAACATATCGTTTTGTTTCTAAGAACCATCGATATCGCATTCGAGGCCACAATACCACAACAAGTGGAAGAGAAAGTATCTATCTTCTCTCGAAGATTAGCCGTCTACATTTTCTTAGGCTAAAGTTTTATTCTCCGTAATCTCTAAGATATAGGGTGGTTCCGATTTAAACGTTGGAACACTTCAGCATGACTAACTTTTCACAAAAACTACCTTATAAAATGAATAAACTCAATTCCTTTAACTCAGAACAATCATCCAAATTCAAATTTATTCAACATTAGAAACAATATTGTCATTTTTTTCAAAAACCAAAAAAACTTCCCCCACATATTTATCATTTTGAATGTTATGTAAATTCTTATATATATATGCAAAATCCCAAATACTAACGTACGGGTTTGCGTTGTCAAAGAAGAAAAAAAAAAACAGTACTATAAACACATATGCATATTATGGAAGTTATAATTTAAATCTGTGAACTTTGTGTTAGAGCTAGACAAGAATTAGACTAAACTTGTAAAACTCAAATTGGACACAACAATAAGTCGGTGAGTCCAGACAGAAAATGATAGAGTAGTTCGAAAAGATGAGGTTGGCTTTTTGCCTTTTAGGCAAATACAAGTGCCTAACACTGTCGCACGCGCGAGCCATACGATTTCTAGGCAAACCCATTTTGTCGTTTCTCCTTTATCATTTTTTTGTTTTCGACCAAGTATGTCCACATCATTATCACCGTTCGATTTTATGGTTAGATATTCTACACCGTACGATTATCTCAATTTCTACGTGTATTTCACCGTTCTACATGGTCATATGAATTGAACCGCATAACGTTTGGACAGCTTTTAATAATCTGTCTCAATAGGCCGGATGATCCAAAGACGTAGCGGTGTGTTGCGGGTCACAATCGAATAACGAAAAATGTATATGGAGGTCGATATATAACTCCAAGTCCGAGAAAGCATGCTTTTTCTATTGTGTATTTGATATGATCATATTACCGACTTTATTTGGTTAGAGGGAGAGATATTTGATATGATATATGCTTGCAGAGTATACCATAATTAAGACAGAAGCAAGTTAAATATGGGAATATAATTCTGACCCTGTTGGGAGAAACATAACTGTTATCATTTCTAATACCTGGATACAATTTTAGGAAAATATTTGTGCTTACAAATATATATTTTTCATATAGAGTAGTGATGCTGCTAAGCTTTTTTTTTTATAACACTGTTGGATTTGAATAGTTCAAGATGATACAAAAAGAAAAGAAAAAACAAAAGAGATAAAGATGATGATGCTGTTAAGCTTAATTCAGATTTATGTTCTGGTTATTGGTTATTGGATGGATACTTCATATGGTTTTGTTTATATATATATATATATATATATATCTATTTTATTAAAATATAGTCGTTCTTTTTATCTACTGATACAAGTTATCATTTAAATTTGGACTATTTCTAGAGTGTTACAAATAATACAAGTTATATAGTTGATTGAACCACATTACTTAAATTAAACCGGCGGTTATTTATGAAATATAGTTTTGGGTTTACTTTAGTTTTTATGACATTTAATTGTTTGGTTTTTGGGCTTAGTATAAAGAAAAACTCCAAAAAACATTAAATAAATTTTTCAACCTTAATGGATCAAAAATCAATTACTATTTTTAGGCCCAAAAATATTTAATATTTTCAACAAAACAAAATTATCTATTATTAATCACTTATTTAAATCATGTACTTTTAAATATGTTAATATTTTTTATTTTAAATAACAATCACTCTATCTTGATAAATTTTAATGATAACTTTTAAATAATTTATTGTTTTATTTTTCTTAAATAATTTACAGATTTAAAGAAAATGTAAATCAAAACCAAAAACCAAATCTAAAACTAAAATCCAAAACCAAAAGCTGAAAACGCAGATTATATTTTTTTATTTTTAAATTATGACAAAACTCAATTATATAAAGTTTTAATCATAAAAAATTTCCGCGTTTTTCAAGCTCGGGTCAAAATCTAGTTCTAGGTTAAGAAACGGGTCAATTTGGGTATAGACACAGTTAAACCGAAGGTAGTAATTTTAATGTAATAGTCCAAATGGATTAACTTCTCTTTATCTTCTTTTCATTTTGTTAAGCTTCCATAGTTTTATTGAAAAGGCTTTTGTGTAATTGCGACACAACAAATTATTAATCGATTAAGGTTGTTACATTCTTAAAAGTCATCAACTAAAACAATTTGCAGAAAGTAACAAATGTTATCATCTAGCAATTGTGTCTTTGATCCATTCTTCTACTTCTTCTAGAAAGATTTTGAAATTCCATTGTTACTGGTCAATCTAGAAAGTGTTAGTCTTTATCGGTAAGCCATCTTAATTAATCTTAGAAACCGTTCGATTAGATTTAGCTTGTCCTTTAAAGATAACTCGTTGGTAAAATGTAAATAATTTTTTTTGTGAACGAATAGATATTTGTTCGAGTTGGAACTTGGAAGTCATAGCTCAAGATGTGATTGGAGTACGCAAATCCACATATAGGGTTTTATCAGAAGACTATATGTATCTTTCAAGTTTATTAAAAATTAGGCCTAGGACACGTTACGAAAACAAAATTATGATATTGAGAATTGAAGATTTTATGAAAGGGAGAATATTCTGTAACTTTCGGGACTGCAGAGCTGTAAATAAGCCTAAGAGCAATAAGGAGGACACCTTCATTGACTTATCTTATGTTTCCAAGTGTGCACAAGACCATGATAAGGATCGGTGGAGCCCCGTATCTGCATTCCCATTTGCACTCTTATTATTTTCAAATTATACATTTAATACACTGATCACAATCATCATATTAATTTCAAAGTGGCATTTTCTTCTGTTTCTGAATTTTTATCCACTAAATAAATCTAAACGCCTTAATTCTAAAATTTAACGGCTACTATTTGATTTTGTTCCATTTCGTGGGTCTTTTCATGCTGATATTTATCGAAAGAGCTGGCAAGAACATGTGACATTTGAGAAAAAAAAATGTTTCTTCTCTCTGACAAACCGATACTACTTTTTTCCAACACTATTTCCTTGTTTAGCAGTTCTACTTTCGAATACTCACAACTTCTTTGTTAACTAAATGATTAGTAATTAGTGAGCGAAACAAGAGCTAGAAACACGTAATAGGCTAGGGGTTAGTCTAAGTGCCCACCAAGTCCTGAATATTCCACCATCTTTTGTTTCTGTCGAAATTCAATTATGGACGCACTGATTTTCGTTATTAGCACTGCCATTCCAGACCCAAATGGTGCCTATAAAGCGCAACAAATGTTTATGCTCTTATTATTATTTTTGTCACATTTATGCATATGTAATCAAAATAATAACAATGTTACTAAAATTTAACTTATTTTCAAGGAAGCAAAACAAAAACACCAATACATTATTCAGGAAAGTGACTATTCTTGGGTTTTTAGTCTTATATAATCATAAGCAACAAAAATCAAGTATTTCAAGCAACTTATGTTCTGTTGATACTCATTTAATCGTTCATAAAAAGTTGCTTTGTTTGTTGTTTTTCTTTTCATTTGTCATTCCACTTGATTGATTATGTATTCCATTTATTCCACTTTCTATTTATAGAAACAATATATATATATATATATATATATACATAATTCATATTCCTAAATATTATAGTAAATAATAAATATAAAACAATTTGATCTATTTATTATTTTTTATTAATTTTAAATCAAAATAATTTCATATACAAAAAAATATATTCATACAGTTTACAACATACTTCAACTTATTACAAATATATTAAAGTAAGATATTTAAAATAACAAATAGTTTTATATTTTAATATACATTTCTAAATTAGAATATTAAAATATAGTTTAATATATTTGAATTTGATAAAATATAAAATACTAAATTTACTTGAAATAAAGATGGTATATTGATCTATTTAATTGAAGATTATTTCATGAAATGTAAACATTTATTAAATATGAGAAAAGTTGAACGCATATAATTAATTTATATTATAATAAAATAAGATTTGACAAATATAAACGTTTTAAAATAAATTCACATTCTAATTTTAAAAATATAATAAAATTAATATCAGGCAGGTTATATAAAGAAATTATATTTTTTTCCATAAAATTATCTCTATATAAATTTAATTTAACTATATAGAATTTAAAACAAAATTTTATCAAAATATATATATAATTTATATTTCTTGGAAAATATTTTTCCAAACAAAAATTCTTCCAAGTTTTCAAAGTGCATGTCAAAATCTAGTAATGAGAATAAAATTTTTGATTGAATAGTTACATATATTAGCTTCAAACGAGAAAATAAGGTCCAAATATATCAACAACAGTTTCTAATAAAATTATTTGCAAAAGCAATGTTATGTGAATTTAAAGATGATCGAAAGTATATGAAAGAGGACATAACATATTTTATTTGTTAGTCTATAAGGCTTTCTTAAGGAAATCATAGTTATTTTCTACTCATTCAGCGAAATTGTTTCAGTTTTCTATATATATTTGGATGGTTGTATTAAATTATGTTTGAATCTTGTAAAATATTGGTATCAATATATTTGATTTTTTCAAAAAACAATATATATGTTGAGAAAATATCGGCTTTTACAAATGAATTGTGAAGAATATAAAATTTATTAGCTGTTTTAATTTTGTTTTGGTTAATCACTTGATAACCAGCATCTCCGGTTATTTAGGCTTGGGGGTTACGCATAAGACAATTATAAAACAAAATCCTCCTCTCCGAGAAAACGCATATCATTCGATCAGATTCGAGAATGGGTCGCCGCAGTGGCTTCGGTGGTGGTGAATCTTACATCTCCTAACTTCTTCTCACTTTTCAGTTTTGCTTCTTCTTCGTGCAATTGTTCAATCTAGGGTTTTAATCGAGTTGATTTTACGCCTGATTTTCTAAACACTTTCGCTTTAATTATTTTGACTGAGTTTTAGACTGTTGATTAGTCCCACTAAACGCACATATATATTTCAGACTTAACCCTAACTATTAGTCTTATGTAAATCCGATTAACATTCTTGATGCAGGAGGAAGAAAATCATATTCCACTGGGCCAAAATTTCGATCTCCATCATTTTTTCATAAGAAAGCTAAGCCTGGTAAACAGAATTCTTTTTGACTTGAATATAAATCCCTTTTGTTTTTTTTTTTTTTTCTTGTTTTTCAATTTTAAAGTCTATATATTATTATTTGTAATAATATATGTGCAGCCAAAGATGAAAAAGATGAAAAAGCGCCTCCTCCTGCTGAACCTAAGCGTGAAAGTTATTTTTCATCCATATCTGATGGTATAATAAACTTAATTAAAACGACGCAATTTTTTTTTATCTTTGCATTTCTATTTATTTTTTCAATGTAATTTAACTTGGAGGAAATTAGGGTTTCATTGGGGAGCTGGAAATGCTATGGGACACAGATTCGTTGAAGCCATTTTTGGTCCTAGGACCATTAAAACCGAAGTTGTTTTACCAGAGAAAATTGAAGTAGCTGCTGTCTCTGCCATTGATGATTACGATAAATACAAGGATTGTAGCATAAGCTATAAAGCATTTGAAGAAGTAAGGCCTACATTTTGATGACTTTTCTTAAATTCGAGAATCATTTGCAAAATCCTGTGCTTGTTTTTTTTTTTTTTTTTTAAATTGTTTATTCATGATTCGCAGTGCTTGAATGTGGAAGGGAATAAACTAAGCAAATGTCACATCTTCATGGATTCGCTGTTCGAGTGCAGGAAGAATTCTAGTTCCTTCAACTTCTAAATTCTTGGGACCTTTATAGTTCTTCCTTTCTTTATTAGTGTTTTCCAATAAATCAAGATTTAAAAACTCTTGTTGAATAATCATTCGTCTTGTGGTTTCTTTGTTGATTTAACCACCAAGTCTATGAATTATCGTATGTCTTGGATAAAATAAAGTCATTTAGTTTTGCCTTTGGCTAGAATTGAGGAATATTGTGTTTGTTTTCATGGAAACAATTTATTCAGATACACACAACTAAATGAAATTATTGAATCGATATTTGGTGGGATGTGAGATTATTTTAGCTGCCAACAATTGATTTATTTTAGATTTGTTACACTAGTTAATATGAACAATATAAGTTGTAACTTGTACCTCGTATCTTCTTGCTTGATGAAAAAGCGACAAATCAGAAGAGAAGTGAATGAAACTATAAATAATCAAATGAGTATAGAGTTAGAGGAAGCTAAAAGCGATAGACAGAAAGGATATTGGGGATTTTAACCGAACCTAACCCAATGTTATCGAGGTTGATAAAAAAAAAAAAAATGTTATCGAGGAATGGGCCGAGACGATTACAAAAATAAGGCTGGATTTTAGGATATAAAAATAGTTCTTATTCAATATCAATTTTTTATTTTGGTTTGTCAAATTTAAATTCTGTTTTTGTTTAATTCGTGAGGTGATTACAAAAATACTTCAATAAAATTGACTTCTAATTTTTTGATAATTTAAAAGAAATAAAAAATTCTTTTAAAAAGCAATATCTATCATTAATAATTATTTTTTCTTTAGACTGAAATATTTAGGAAACACAATAAGTTATTTAATTAATTAAAACATTTAAGATATTTTGGAAGAGAATAATAAAGGTTTTAAGATATGTTCAAAACTATTCTATTTATAATTTATGATAATTAACTAGACTGGTAAGATTAACCTGCATGCAAATTTCAAAAGAATAATATAAAACATATTAAGATATTTTGGAAGAGAATAATAAAGATTTGAAGATTTGTTCAAAATATTCTAATTAGATGTTATGATACTTTTATAATATTTTCTCTTTTACAGAATATGATGTTTGTACCTTTATCCTATAACGATTATGAATTTGGTTTTAAAATGTCTTCGTTAGAAAAACAAATATCTCTTAAACAGAAAAGATAAATATCTAAAAAAATCTGAGGAAAATATATCAGTGGTGCAAAATCAAAACAGCATCAAACTAGCCCACTTCCACACAACAAAAAAAAAAAACATACTCGATTTCGTTTCGCTAATAGATGCAAAATTTGACTAAACATCCTCTCAAGTAATTTCGCCGTCCCTTCCTTCGCCCTTCCCTTGTAATCTCCTCTCACTCGCTCCCTCTCTTCTTTTTCTATATTATATAACGCGTCTCTTGTTCCATAACGCGTCTCTGGTTCCTATATAACAGTTTGCGATAGTTTCCTTGGTTCTATAGGATCTCTTCTCTTTCTCGGTAACTAATTATTTTATTCTCTTACTTTTCTATATTATATAACGCGTCTCTTGTTCCATAACGCGTCTCTGATTCCTATATAAAAGTTTGTGATAGTTTCCTTGATTCTATAGGATCTCTTCTCTTTCTCGGTAACTAATTATTTTGTTCTCTTACTGTTCTGTCTTATGTTATTTTAGGGTTTCGTTTGTTTTTTAGAAGACAAAGGGTTTTGCGGCTGATTAATCCTTAGGTCATCATATCTTATGACATTGAGTCTACTTGTCGTACGAAAAAAGTGATTTGATTGTCGTAAAAAAATCTGACAAGTTTTTAATAATATCTCTTTTGACTTTTTTTGTACTATTCAGATTTTTTGTTTTGTTTTGTCTTGTTCCTAACTTTATTTTCTAAAGTTGTAGCTCCATGCAGCGTTGTTATGTTTTGTCTGATGTTCTGTTTACATTTTATTTTTATTATTGATTCAGAAAACAAAAAAGAATGGGTCAAGTTTTAGGATGTGTTCAAGTTGATCAATCAACTGTAGCAATCAAAGAGACTTTTGGAAAATTCGACGATGTTCTCCAGCCAGGTTGTCACTGTTTGCCATGGTGCCTAGGTAGTCAAGTCGCTGGTCACCTTTCCTTGCGTGTTCAACAGCTCGATGTTCGCTGCGAGACCAAAACTAAGGTCTCTACCCTTTCTTTCCTTACTTTTTTCTCTTCATTATCTAATATTTTGAGACATTTTAATGGTTTTTTTTTTGTTTGGTTTAGGATAATGTGTTTGTCACTGTTGTTGCTTCCATTCAATACCGTGCCTTAGCTGAGAGTGCTCAAGATGCTTTTTACAAGCTTAGCAACACTAGAAATCAGATTCAAGCTTATGTCTTTGATGGTTTGTTTCTCAAGGACATTGTGTTGGTGTTGTTGTGTTTGCCTGACTTAACCAACCATTTATTTTATTTTTACATAGTGATCCGAGCATGTGTTCCTAAGCTGGATCTAGACTCAACCTTTGAGCAGAAGAACGACATTGCAAAAACCGTTGAGAGTGAGCTTGAAAAGGTAAACCAAACCACTCTCAGTTTTGTAAGCTTTAGATAAGACTATGTCTGATCTTGTGTAATAATACAGGCTATGTCTCATTATGGGTATGAGATAGTTCAGACGCTTATTGTGGACATTGAGCCAGATGTGCATGTCAAGAGGGCAATGAATGAGATCAATGCCGGTATGATCAATTCTTTATATATATGCACACAAGTCTTGAGACTTTTTTTTTTTTGCCAAAATGTGAATCTCGTATAAATATGTCATTGTTTGTAAAGTTACAAAATGTTAGTGCATAGTAGAGTCAGCCTTGAAAAAAAAAAGTAAAAACAAGGTGAGCCTACACAAGTCTTGAGACTTGACATTGATTTGTTCTGTTCTGTTTCTTTAGCTTCGAGAATGAGAGAGGCAGCGAGTGAGAAAGCTGAAGCAGAGAAGATACTACAGATCAAGAGAGCTGAAGGAGAAGCTGAAGCCAAATACCTTTCGGGTCTTGGTATAGCACGTCAGAGACAAGCCATTGTGGATGGTTTGAGAAACAGTGTGCTTGCATTCTCTGAGTCTGTTCCAGGGACTTCTTCCAAAGACGTCATGGACATGGTTCTGGTGACTCAGTACTTTGACACACTTAAGGATATTGGAGCGTCTTCCAAGTCAAACTCGGTGTTTATACCGCACGGTCCAGGAGCTGTTAAGGACATTGCTTCACAGATTAGGGATGGTCTACTTCAGGGGAAAGCTGCTGAGTAAGAAGATGTCAAAAGTATAAGAACTTTCTTCAGGGTTTTAGATGTTGTGATGCGACTTAGTTTTTATATTTTGGTTTTCTGTTTCGTGAGTTCTTAAAATACTTTTGAGTATCTCAACAATGGAATTGTCTTATAAGTTTTACTTGAATCTCACTCAATAAAATTATCTTAATAGTGTCACTGCAAAGACATGCCCTGAAATATTTAAGAACATTGTATCGGTTGAAACGGAGCATTCCGTACTCGTTTACAGGTAAGTGTAGAAGTATGTACTAAGATTTTGAATGTTTAGCTTTGGTAAACTCCGATAATTTAAAACACTTCAATCAATACATCTATAGTTAGGAGTCACAACTTTATTTCATGTATGATTTTTTAAGTTAGATTAATCCTAGAAAGTCATCTTAATAACATTCTGACTTAGACCATGATTAACCCGGAATTTTTGAGATAAAATTTTTAATTGAAGGTCAGAAACTGTTTTTTAACTTCCGCTAAAAATTCTACTCTAAAAAAGTTTATTCATGCTCTTACAATTTCACTTTATATATTTGTTGCTTTAGTGATACCTAAGCCTAAATTTACGTTTGGTTACCCAATATAGATTTTCTTCATTGTTGATTTATATCGAACCAAATCTTTATATAGTATTCATCCCTTTTGGTTTACAGATTTGATAAACAAAACCAAATAATATTTAACCGGTTCTGACCTACGTTTATACATCTTATATATTAAAATAGAAGTCATAACCTTGATTTATGTGTGATTTTTTAGAAAATAGACTATTCCTTAGAAAGATTATTAAATGTTACAAATCTAATGATAATATCTTTAAGTATCTTTATCTTTCTATTTAAAATAGAAATGAAATAAATCTAACAAAATCTTTTTGGCATCTTTTTAAATTTTATTTCCTTAAATCATTGAATTTAAATTCTAATTATCATAAAATATCATTAAAAATTATTATATTATTTATAAATGAAAATTTAAAATTATCTACAATATTTTTTGTTATATTTTAATGAGAATTATAATATAAATTAATGGAGTTTGGAATATTTACAAAATTTAAATAGATTATGTTAGAAAAAAATAAAATTCTATTTCAAATATACAAAATAATATATTATATATTTATCTATCTATACTATTAAAACGAAGTCATGAGTTATTTCATGTATAGTTATTTTACTTGGACCATTCTTTATAAAGTTATCAAATTTTACATAATTTAATTATAATATCACCCTATATCTTTATGTTTTATTTGAAATACAAATATTTTTGTTTAAAAAATTAAAATTTATCTAGATAGTACTATATATTCCTAAAAAATAAATAAAAAACTGTATAGTGGAGTTTGACCACACAGATTTTTCATTATGTAAATATAAAACTTTTATAGTATTGTAAAAATTTTAATATATGATTTACATTTAATTATATATGTTATATAAGTTTATAATTTATTGTTTAAGTTTCTTACTCGTCATTATTAATATACAGTAATTTGTTTTAAATATTTTAATTTATATTCTTATTGATTGTTATTAATTATTAATATATTTTGGAGTTTGATACATAAATTATAATCTGAAATAATCAAATATATAATCTTTTTGATATAAAGTTTTAGTTTCTACAATTTGCATACAATAATTTTAACATTTATTTAGATATACTATAGATAAATATATGTTAATAATAATTTATATTTTCATGTTGTGTTTAAAAATGATACTTTAACATTTATTACTTTAGTATTTTGCAAAATTTTATAAATAAATATATTATTATTTTATTGATAATTTTTTATAAATTATAAATAGATAAAAAAAAACTGCACGGTTGTGCGGGTCAAGATCTAATGTCTAGTTAAATAGAATGGATTGTTTTATACAGACAGTAGACAAGTGACATTTCAACCTCTTCTACTGTGGTCCATCATTTTTTCATTTTTTTTGTCAACCATCATTTCAATTTTTCTTTAACATCTGTACCTTTTCAAGAAACACTTTTTGTTTATACTCTAGTAATCTCACTTGATATAAATTTCAATAGTAATTAGTGTAAAATAATAATACCAAACTGTAGTTCTTATCTTTACCTTGTAAAATGTTTGTAAATAATTCCAATCCTTCAAACTCTTGTTTCTGTATTTTTTTTTAATAGAAAACACACAAAAACAAATGTTAACATTTGGATCTAGCATTTGAATCGTTGGACAAGTTACAATCAGTTTTTGATGGATCCAGATCGCTGTTTAAATCCGATTTGAATTAATATTTGTTCTGATTTGAGGCAACTTTTCAAGTTTAAATCGGTTGAAATTTATAATAAAATTACTTAAAAATATATAATTTTTAGGTAAGTATTGAATTTGGATCGGTTCGGATATTTAAGGTCTGAAATAGCAAATTGTATCTGAATATCTTAAATATAACCAAAACTTTAAAACGCAAAAAAATATCTAATATGAAAAGATCTAAGATTGTCTGATTCATGCACCTTCAAATAATCTAACATGACATGACGGTCTATTTTTGTGCTAAAAAAGAAGAAGATATATTTCTATCTTTTGCCCCAAAAGAGATATACAGTATAACCTCTTTAAATTAATAATCTATAAATTAATATCTCTATAAATTAATATACTTTCATAGTCCCAAATTGAATTTTTGGTTTAATTAATATCTCGATAAATTAATAATCTCTATAAATTAATAAAATTTTTAGTTTTGGTGTAGTCCCAACATTATTAATTTATAGAGGTTTCACTGTATTTCACATAACAAAAATCTCCTTAGTTGAATTCACATAATTTGCTTTGTATTGAAATCGCTACGTGGCAATCAGGGATCTGATTTCAATTAGATTAAGATATTATTAACTTATATAATTAATTGCATATCAGGAATCTGATTTTTATTAGATTAAGATATTATTCAATTATATAATTAATTGCATATCAGGAATCTGATTTTTATTAGATTAATATATTATTCAATTATATAATTAATTGCATAGATGCGGTAGTTTAGGAAATTCATATATATATATATATATATATGTATCAACGGTGTATGAGAGTAACTTCCATTCCTCTCCCAAACTCACCATTTTGCAAGGAAGGAAAAACAACTTCAAATAAAAATGGGGAATTCGACCAAAAAAAACACGAACTTTGCACGAATTGCCAAAAGAAATCTGTACATATGAGCTGGCCAAAAAAACACTATACTTTTGTTGACTTTTTAATTTTATTAAGAAACTTTTGTTTGACTGACCAATTTGACACACCGTTAACAAAGTTAACGGATTTTTTTGACAACGTTAAATTTGGCGTTATAATGAAACGACGTCGTTTTATGTGTTTTTGCTTTTAAAAATAAAATGAGAAAACATGCTTCAAGGGATTCGAATTTGTGCACTTAAGGATTATGGTAGGGGCTTTACCACTAGGCTACTAGACTTTACATTACATTGATGAACTGAGTTGTTTTTAACATTCTCTCATCTGAGTTAAATGAAAATAAAAAGGCGTAGACACCTAGATTCGAACCAGTGTTAATAGGGTCAAATGACATAGTACTTTACCACTGGGATAGAATTACTTCAATGTTTTCACTAACATATTTAGTTTTATTGAGTACTTATTGAATAAAAAAAATCTCTAAAAGCCTTAAAATACCTTTAAATTAAAAAAATGAAAAATAAAGAATTTTTTTTATAAAATTAATTTTGAAATTAAAATTTAAAATAAAATTTCATTTTTCTTTAAAAAAATCAAAAATCTTCAAAAATTTTCATTTAAAATGAAAATGGTTAAAATAATTATTGTACCCATTATGAGTGCGATTTTAATTTTAAGCTGATAATTTTAACTTTAATTTGCTTGCTTTTTCTTTGAATTTTTAATTTTTTGGATTTGTTTTAAATTTTTCGATTTTTTTTCATTTTTAGTATAAAAATAAAAATTATTTATAATTTAATTTAAAATTAAACTTTCTTGAAAATTTTGGAAGATTTTTAATTATTTAAAAAAATGAAATTTTGTTTTTAATTTTAATTTCAAAATTAATTTTATAAAATAATCTTTATTTTTCAATTTTTTGTAAGTTTAAAGGTATTTTTAAGTTTATTAGAGATATTTTATATTCGATTAGTACTCAATAAAAGAAAATATGTTAGTGAATACAATGAAAGTAACACTAGCCCAGTGGTAAAATACCGTGTCGTTCAACTTAGCCAACCTGGGTTCAAATCCAGGGGCCTACATTTTTTATTTCCGAATCATGTAAAACGACGTCGTTTCATCCTATTTGAAAACAACGTCGTTTCACTTAATGACAAGAGTTAACGGCAATCTAACACTGTCTAAACTGCGAATTAACGGTGTGTTAAATTGGCCAGTCAATCAAAAGTTTCTTAATAAAATTAAAAAGTCAACAAAAGTATAGTATTATTTTGGCCAGAGTCGAGTACATGTTTCTTTTGGCAATTTGTGCAAAGTTCGTGTTTTTTTTGGCCGAATTCCCAATAAAAATGGCATCTAACAAATTTGCTTTCTTCCTGTTACTTTGCCTATGTGTTCTCTCAACCGCAGGTGACAAATTGCTCTGACATATATCTTACTAAATAAGATTATGGTGTATAATTAAATTATTCCTCGGAATCATCCACTTTTCTCTGATTTATACTATACATCACATCCAATAGTTGATGTGTGTGCATGATTCATAAAAATATCATTTTTCTTGGTTTAGCAAATAGTTGATCAAAAACAAAAAACAAAAAGCAAATAAAACTGTTAATTTTCTTTTTAATAGAATTTGGAGAAGCACAAAACCCAACGGGACGGAAATGCCCAGATCCAAACGGCGTTGACAGGAAAGCGGAGTGTTACAGCTACTGTAGAGATCAGGGTTTTCTCGGTGGTAGTTGCCAGGGCTACAAAAATCATTATATGTGCGAGTGTTATGAAGGATAAACAAACATTTAACTGCTTTAAATTCCAAAACTATTATATTATTTGTATCCATTTTCTAGGATACATGCTATTGTCCATTTCTCATCATAATAAGAAGAACAATTAGTAGGGTTCGTGAATAATGGTGAATCTAAGCGTTAATTACATTTACGTTTCTGTTCTTTTTTAATCGTTTTTATTATCATAGAAAGACGTAATATGGCCTATGGGTGTAATATCGTTTAAACCCGACCTTGAGCTCAACAAGCGTTTTCCTAAAGAAAACTATACATTTCCTTCTTATATAAGCGTTTTGAATGCAATTTGGTATTCATTAGATTTTCTTAACGTTTTTTTTAAACTAATTTTCTTAACGTTTTTCAAATTGAATAACGCTTTGAGACATTCTCAGCTCTTCATCCTCTACGTGTAATTTCCAACGAATTTCAAACTAATCTCATTTTTAAACTGGAGCATGATATGTATTTTGACTCAAACGTGTGTTAATAGTGGAAAGTGAGTTGATAATAAAAAGTGTTTCTACAATGTAAATAGTAAGTTTAAAAAGTACTATCTTGTCACGTACATATATAGTCAAGATGTGAGGTAATAAATAATAGATTAATTTTTCAGTGGATCTTTTAATATTTGATATTGCATGTTAGCACTGGAGCCATCTTTTTGGTTCCAAAGTCCTTCATAGTCCCTCGAGGAAGTCGATTTGGTTGTGTCCTGCCTCTTTGTAGTTAATGTTACTAGAATTTTTTGAGTTCTCTGCTCGCGTTAGACCAGAATAGAGAGCCTTGAACATCCGATTCCTACCATTAGTGACATTCCAGCTCTATTTTCATGGATTCGGCTTCATTCAGATTGGACTTCTAGTGTTGTTGGCGTCTAGAGTGTGCTTCACTGGCTCCTCCTCTTCAGCAAGCTTGAGCCATTTCTTCCCTTTTCACCACTTCTCTGTCTCCACCACCAACTCCCACCCCACCGTAACACTTGACCTCACACAACCAAACTATGATCCCAATCAATTAGCAAACCACCCTCTTTCTTCTTCCTCTCTCATCTTCTCCTCCTCTGATCGTCCATCTCCGTCGAACAGTCACACATTGAGCTTCAGTGTGGCTTGAGACCACAAGCCCCTTTTAATACATATCTCCTTTTAAATCAACATACTGAACGCACACTTTTTCTTATATGGCGTTTAAGATAAGATCTTGAAAATGGTTGGAGGTAAGACCATCTTCAGTCCACCACTATTTTCATCTCTGTATTTTTTCCAAAACAGAGAATCTCTATTGTAGAGATGTATTTACTCCAATGTATGTCTCTATAATAGAGTTCATCTATTTATAGATAAAGATATGTTATTTCCATCTCTAAATATAGAGACAAAAAATAGTATTACTATATTTTCCTCTAAAATATAGGAGTTGTATTATAATGGTATACATTGGAGTAAATTCATTTCTATTATAGATCTCTATTTTAAAGAAAAAATACAAAGATGTACATTGGAGATGTTCTAATATGGCGTCAAGAAACCTTTTTCTCTGAGTAAATAAGACTTTTTGAAATTGTTCCTAAGCTTAGATAGTATTTTGTACGTATATAAATCAGTAGACATCCTTTTGTTGGATTTCTTACTGTATAATATGTATGATGGAGACGTTGAACTGAAGAGGAAATGAGCCTTATCAATGGGCGTTCCCAGGGAACTAGCGGGTCTATTTACCACTTGAAAACAACATGGAAAGCTACCATGGAAGAAACTCATGTATCCTGCTGAGAAACTTGATGAAGGATTCAAGATTACTAAGTATATCCATATGCAGATGAATGCGACTAGAGGAGGTATCTTTGAAGAAAAAGGTCTTCCTGACCTTTTCATTTCAAATGGAGAGTTCAAGAAACCAAGGATTATCTGCCATAACCCCAAACAAGCTTTAATACTGAAGCAAATCGCAGAGTATGGTTCAAATGCCTTTTACAGCAACACTGTTGGGATTGACCTTGTGAGAGATGTTAGTAAACTGGGAGGGATACTAACTCTACAAGATTTGCAAATTTACAGAGTTAAAGTCAAATAGTATTTGTCAGCAAAAATTCTTGGATACATACAGCTTGGTATGCCTCCTCCATCATTTGATTGATCTAATTGCACCTTCTAATTGGATAAAGAAAGAAGTAGAATCAATGATTGAAGAATATATGTATTAACACATAGGAAAACTAACATACCACCATAATACTTTGGATCAAAGGTTTTCTGGTAATTTTTATCTTTTTCTTCAAGGACTTTGCAAACTTTGGGGACAACATGTTTGCAGAGCCGGCTTAGTGGGGAGGACAAATAGTGCACCCGCCCAGGACCCACCTGAAATCCAATAAATTTTAATGACAAAAAGGACCCATATATCTTCTTTTTATTTTAATGGGAAGGACCCAATTTTTTTTGTTTTTATACTTAATATTATATTAGACAATATTTTAATGACATAGTAATCTAAGTTAATAAAAGTTAAAAAAAAATTCAACCAAAAATAATAAATATCCTTACTTCTGTATTTTTTAATATTTTAGTTATTTTAATGATATTTTGGTTATAATATCAAAATTAATTAACTATGAGGCCTAGGAAATTTTTTTGCTCAGGAGCCCAGCAAAACTTTAAGCCGGCCTTGCATGTTTGAAACAATTTTGGTAACATCCACAAAGTTTAAAATACATGTGTGTTTTAAATTATGTTTTACTCATGTTTTGCCTATATTTTGCTTATTTTTGAAAATGTATATAACCTATGTATATTTGAGAAATATGGTTTTAATAATTCAAATTTGCAAAAGTAATTCTGTTTGTTGTTCATTTTCAAAGAAATATTTTTATATAAAAATTAGATGATTCCTAAATTAAACTTACAAACATACAAAAACAAGTTTATTAAGTTTTATTCAGTTTTAATCAGAAGTATTATATAATGTTAAGTTTAAATTTTATAACTTTTAACATACCGTAGAAGTTTTATAATACTGTTTATAAAAATATAAATCTATAACTTGTATAAAGAACCAAACAAAGTAGTATTTTGAAAATGAACAGTACATGCTGAAAAAGTGAACAATTCATAATGTTATTTTGAAAACTTGCATCCAAAAAGTGACTTCTGGAATTTTATAAAGATTTTTTTCCTTATGCGTTTCCAAAAGTTGGAGGTCGTCTCATATTGTTGCTTTGTAGAAATATTCAGGGTAAAAGTATTAGAAAATGTTTTACCAAACAAATTATAGAAAATGAAAAACAAGACAACTAAGAAAATAGCAGTATTTTCTTGTTTTTTTTAAGAAACTGTTATTTTTTATTTATTTTAACTTAGAATCTACAATAAACAAAGGCTTGATCTTGAAGATTTGACTTTGAGATGTATATAAAAAGAAATAGAAATTATAAAGTTTCAAATATACTGTTTATATCAAAATTTATATATCTAGATCCAAACACTTTTGGCTATGACGCATATGTAGAAAAATTATTAATGAATAGTAAAAGTATTATCAATACATGATTCATGATTTGATTTGCAAAGCAATTCTAACCATTTTCGTTATTTGATAACAATGATAATATGAGAGTAGACATTATCTTATCATTAGTGCTGAGTCGTCGGTCAGGATTATTCAAGAATCGAGACGCTGTTAATTATTATTCTAAACAGAGCTGGTAACATGGTGATGAATCTGATGATCACCAATATTAAAATCCAATATTTTAGTTCGTCTTTCATCTTATTAAATTGCAAAGTCAATGTATGTAGTAGGCACCGGGGCTTTTTATAAGAAACTACAATACTTTACATATAAATATAGAGAATATAGTACATTTTTTCTTGCAAAGAAGAAAAACCCAAAATAACAGATCCAATTGTTCTCAAGATCGCATCTGAATCATATTATATAGCATGATCAAAGAGGAGACCGATTCATGTGTTCATCCTTCCGATGGCGTTATGGCAGAATCCGATAAGGTAAACAATAAACTATTTCTTGATTCTAAACCACAATATTCTCTAATTGGTTTGTTTATAGCTGTTTTGAATCTCACTCTAGTATTTTTTTTGATCGGTGAGAGTTTCGGATTTTTAGATACGTATGTTCATATAATACCTGTATTTGCATATCTGCATGTATAGAGTTCCTACGCTTTTGTTTTAAGCCTGGAATTATTACATTTTTACTGCATCTTATGAAAGTCAACAAAAGCAAAGGTGGATGAAAAATAAAAAAAGTAGCGAAGGTGTATATATTGTAAGTATAGTGTTTTTTTGTTATTTACACTCACAGGAGGTGGAGCTTGATGAAACAAAAGCAAAGGTGGATAAAGTAAAAGAAGAAAACGAGAAGTTAAAGCTCTTACTCTCTACTGTCCTTGCAGAATACAACTCTCTTCAAATGCATGTCTACAATGTTATCCGACAGCAAAATGAATCTTCTATGAAGCTAGACGGTAACGGTAACGGTAACAATGAGGATTTGGATGTAGATATATCTCTTAGGCTTGGAAGATCAGAGCATAAAATATCCAAGAAAGAGGAAGAAGTAAGGAAAATTATTGCGGAAAATATTTCTATTGAGAAAAAGGAAGGGTCAGAAAAGAAAAGATCGGCACATGGTTTAGGATTCAGAATTCAAAGTTTTGAAGATCCTAATACTGATCAAACCATGAAGTTTGATTATCATTTTAGAGAGGTTAAGAATAAGGACGTGGAAAATAAATGTTTATCTTCCAGGAAAGATTTCAAGACGGCTAGAAATGAAGAACATCATGAGGTTTTGGAAGGACATGAGCAACCAGGTTTAAAGAAAACTAGGGTTTGTGTGAAAGCCCCATGTGACGACCCATCGGTACGTAACCAACTATAAGATGGTACATCACATATATATTCATTATTCTATATGCAACATGTAACATATTGCTACTGATGTACATGAATGTATAGATAAACGACGGTTGCCAATGGAGGAAATATGGTCAAAAGACTGCAAAAACGAATCCTCTTCCACGATCTTATTACCGCTGCTCCATGTCCTCAAATTGTCCCGTAAGAAAACAGGTACAAAACATTTTACAATAATATTCACAATCCGAAAATTCGAATTCGGTCTTCTTAATAAAATCCGGAATCTTGAACCCATCAAACCTGTGGTAACCACATTTTTACAAATATAGTGGACTTGATAAAATATTGGATTAACATGAAGAGAAATGTGTTTTTGGACTACTAAAGAAAAAGAAAGAGCCATAAACAAAGGACATTGGTTTTAGTCACTACAAATTTTGTGAATCTGATTATGTAGACCATTTGATGGTGATCCAGTGGTTGGAGTGTTCACCCTAAATGTTAAGGACTGGAGAGTCCTCCTCCCACTGCGATTTTGATCATGGTTTGTCACTGTAATTGTGTTAAATGACCAGGAGTTATATCTTGAATATTAATATGAATATTAATATGAATAAGAATGTAATTATGTAGGTGCAGAGATGCGGAGAAGATGATACATCTGCTTATATGACTACATACGAAGGAAACCACGACCATCCACTTCCCATGGAAGCAACTCATATGGCTGCTGGAACTTCAGCTGCCGCCTCCTTACTACAATCTGGCTCCTCCTCTTCAGCAAGCTTGAGCCATTTCTTCCCTTTTCACCACTTCTCTGTCTCCACCACCAACTCCCACCCCACCGTAACACTTGACCTCACACAACCAAACTATGATCCCAATCAATTACCAAACCACCCTCTTTCTTCTTCCTCTCTCAGCTTCTCCTCCTCTGATCATCCATCTCCATCAAACAGTCACACGTTGAGCTTCAGTGGCTTGAGACCACAAGCTCCATTTACTACATACTCACATTTATCACATCAAACCAGACTTTCTGGACAGCAGTGACTTTGTATATTGGTATAGATACATGTTTTTTTGGTCATGTATGGTTTTAAATTGTCTTAGGCATCACGGACTTCCAACTCGAAACAAATAGCAATGAGTGGATTAGTCCTTGTCATTTGTACACTATACTAAATTTTATCTTTTTGTGAGATCTTCTAACAATTGCTTGATCTGGTTTGAATTATGTGTGTCATATACAGTTTGTAGATATTAAATTTATATAGTTAATGGTGTTGAAGCTTTTGTAAATTATATTTTGCTACACAAAACAGTTTCTACAACTAGCCTGGTGACTGGTGAGTTTCTGAATTAAATTTGAAACACTGATTTTAATATGTTAAATTAAAACACACTTTATTATCATTCTTATAACAAACCCACTAACCAAAGAGATTTGCATAACCAATGAAACCAAATAAAAATCTAAACAAGCTAGCATAAAATTCCTAACTAATTTGCTAAACTCCAACTTATTCCATATTTCTCAAAAAAAAAAACATTTGAGAAAGAAAAGATACTTTAGTTATAGCAAATTGTTTTTTTGGTGAAACTATGTGCTAAAGTCTGGCCCACCCGAGTCAGAAGGCTCCCGATTGAAGCGCTGTTATTCACTCTATCTAACACGACCATTTACAGTGACACGTGTCACCGCAACGAAGGTGCGTAACCGCCAGTTAAGCGAAACCAAAGGTTCCATCTCCGACACGTGACATATCCGACCACGAAGCACACCTCTGTTTTTTTTAATTTCATTTTCCCCTTAAGCAAAAAAAAAAAAAAAAAACCTTAAACAAGATTTGCGTTTGTTCGTTCTTGAATCAACGTAGATTGGTTTTAAGTTGGAATCATTTTCCGTTTTCACAAGGTGGTATCAAGAAATGGCTGAAAGTGAGAATGTAGATAAGGAGACAAGCTCAGCTGTTTCAAGCTGCGAGGAGTATTTCCAAAAAGTTCAGTCGAGAAAGAATCTTCCCAAATCTCTTCAAGAAACCCTTAACTCTGCCTTCGCCGGAATCCCTGTCTCCTCCTTCCCTCGAGTTCCCGGCGGCAGAGGTAAAACTAATTATAATATAACACATTCATTCAAAAAAAAAAAAACTAATTATAATACACTCGCTTAGGTTCTGTTTTCTTCTTGTTGTTGTTGTGTGTATGGATTAATAGTGATTGAGATAACATCCGAAACATCTGTGTCCGTAGCAGTAAAGATTCTTTCAGACAGCAAGATACTCTCAGCTCCTGTAATAAACAAAGATCACGAGAGCTCCCTAGACTGGAAAGAGAGATACCTAGGAATCATTGACTACTCCTCCATCATCCTATGGGTTCTTGAGAGTGCACAACTTGCTGCTGTCGCATTATCCGCCACGTCAGCAACCGCTGCTGGTGTTGGCACAGGAGCCGTTGGAGCTTTAGGTGTTGCAGCGCTAGGTGCAACCGGTCCTGTTGCTGCAGCGGGGATAGCTGCTGCTGCGGTTGGAGCTGCGGTTGCTGGTGGTGTCGCAGCTGACCGTGGGGTCGGGAAAGATGCTTCAACGGCTGTTGATAGTTTGGGGAAAGATTTCTATCAAGTCATTCTACGTGAAGAGCCTTTCAAATCAACCACTGTAAGTTTTATTGTTATTCTCTTAAAGCATGATTAATAGAAGTTCTCTTCTTAAAATGAGGTTCTAAGTTTTTTTATTTAAAATTAAGAGACAGTTTTTTATATTCCGCTAAGAACTCCAGCATAAGTACTCTTTATTTAAAATTAAGAGACAGTTGTTTATATTCCGCTAAGAACTCCAGCATAAGTACTTTCCATTAGTCATGCTGTGACTTAAATCTCTAATCTCTAGTGTAACAGTATTATGTCACTTTCATTGGATTAGAAAACCGTTTTTATTAGATATAAAAATTTCATATAGAAAAAACAAATATTAGATTTTGAAAATAGTATTAATATGGATGTAATGGACTATAAATTATTAATTCACAGAGTCAATATACAACCACTGAACATATATTTGCCTCGGGTTTGATTCGCGGTTGTTCACAACATTTATAAAACGGAAAATGTTCATCTTCATGACAATGATTAATTATGATATGTTTGTATTTTTCTTTCAGGTTAGAAAGATATTAAAGTCTTTTAGATATGCTCCTTTTGTTCCAGTGTCTACAGAGAGTTCCATGTTGAGTGTTATGTTACTACTCTCAAAATACCGGTTAAGAAACGTCCCGGTTATTAAACCAGGTGAACCAGATATCAAGAACTACATCACTCAATCAGCAGTTGTTTATGGTCTTGAAGGCTGCAAAGGCAGAGATTGGTTCGATCACATTTCAGCACTCCCCATTTCTGATCTCGGCCTCCCTTTCATGTCACCCAGCGAGGTAATTAGCATAGACAGCGAAGAACATATTCTTGAAGCATTCAAGCGGATGAGAGACAACAACATTGGTGGTCTTCCTGTTGTTGAAGGGACAAACAAAAAGATCGTTGGAAACATAAGCATGAGAGACATTAGATATCTGCTACTTCAACCTGAAGTCTTCTCCAATTTCAGACAACTTACCGTGAGGAATTTCACTACAAAGGTTGCTACGGCCGGAGAGGAATACGGTTTAGCCATTCCTGCGATAACATGTAGGCCTGATTCGACTCTAGGCAGTGTTATCAACAGTTTGGCTTCGAGGTCGGTGCATCGAGTTTATGTAGGGGATGGAGATGAGAATGAGCTTTATGGAGTTATTACACTGAGAGATGTGATCTCTTGTTTTGTGTCAGAACCTCCCAACTACTTTGAGAACTGTCTTGGCTTCTCGGTTAAAGAAATGCTTAATCGATGATGTCTTGGTTTTCAGCTTTGTTGGTCTTTTGTGTTTGTTGTTCTTACTTTGATTTCATTTCTCAAAGTTGTCGTTTTGTAATGTCTAAATTGTAAGGAAATTTCAAATTATAAATTTTTTTTTTCTTTTGTAAAATTTTATTCAAAAAAATGTATATATACCAAATGAGTTAAAACTCCAATGAATTACTAACGAAGAAAGTATGTGTTGTACCTCCTTTTCACTAAAAAATAATTATTTGTCATATCTACTCACACAAAATACATCAACTCCAATTGCAATGTGGAGATGTATATGGAACCATGTGAAGGTATAAATATGGAAAACGTAACACTTTTCTTCGGACCTGGAACTTATCTTATTATCATCTAAATATGGAAAACATTAATTACTCTTTTTTCCGGACCTCGAACTTATCTTATTATCATCAGTAACTTGAAACTTAGAGAAGTTTAATGGTTCATATGTTTGGACTTGAAAATCTATGGATAATTGTTGATGGGTTCAAAATTTTGGGTGTGGATTTGATTTGGAAAGACGGATGTGGTGGGGTGTATTTGGGAGAGGCATTAATAAAAAAAATGTTATTTTATTATTATTGGTTTATAAATAGTTAAAAGATTAGAAAAATGAAATGTTTTTTTTTTTAGAAAAATGAATTGTTATAACTTTATTATTTGATATTGGCAAATATGTAAAGTTTTTAAAAAGTATTGGCATATGTGGCAACGTGAAATGGCAACGAAAGATCGTTTGCTAACAAAGTGCAAAACATCGAACCACTATCCTTCATGTCATTGCCAGTCACATGCATCCCATCTCTCCTTTTCCTTTTATCACTATATTTTAATTTCACAATATTATTAAAAAATAGACTATAATAACATCTTGCTCAAAATTCTACAACATATAGACATTTCAAACATTTCTACCCTGTCTAAATTTGTATTTTAGTAGCTACACGGTACACATATGCCAATCATTTATATTTCCCATTTTATTCTACGTATTGACCAAGTTAAAATAAATTAGCCATTTAATAAAGCAAGCTCATATACCAATACAATACTCGACTAAAAGATATTTTGGGATAACATTATAATTTACTTATGCATTTCATCATATGTATATATAACATACATAAGATTTCAAGAAAATCTATTAAAGTACAAAACTTAAAATTAACGGATGACTGTATATAGCTTAAACATTTTTTTTCTTAAAACTACATCGTGATCTTATCTACTTTTAGTAAATATTCTTCTAAGACATTTTTCCATTGGAAGAGAGTGGTCGAAATGGGAGTTGAAGCATCAAGCACATGGCCACATATATAGCCAGCTCTTCTTCACCGATAATTCTTCGTTGGCTGTAGCCATATACTATAATTATACAAAATATTCGGAAAATGGCTGTTGGCATCTGATATACTATCACCAAAAAATGGCTTGAAAGAGTTTAATAGATGAAATGAGGTATTAATATCCAGCAATGCTGAAAAATATTAGATTTAGTGAAATGCACATGACTCCGTAAAGATTCATACATTAATTAATGCATAATGGCGCATTTTACAAGTCTGATCTCCCTCATCATTTTTATCGTCAACTTTTATATATTCTGGCATCCTCTAGGGTTTCATATTTTGTCATATGCTTTCTTCTTTCGTGCGATCTTGCAAGTTTTAACGCTCCTTGAAACTAATTATTTACTATCGCCTTCGACTCAGTTATCAATATTTTAATGATTGTCTACTTATCCAGATTTTTGCAAAGTCAGTTTTAAGAATTTTTTTAACAGAGTGAGTCTTTTAATAAGAACCAGAGTTTCTTCTTCCCTTATATTTTTATCAAGGAACAGTTTTAACTTTTAATTTATCCCATAATTATATAGTTTTCTCGCATGATTCTGTAGTATATTATTTATCATAAAGACATGTACGCAATAAATTATATTCCTAATAATGCTATTTATAAGTATATTACGTTGAAGAGATGAGAGTGACGAAGGCATTTAAGTGTAGTTGAAGCATCCAAGTTACAAAGGGTCCATTAACCAAAAAAGCAAAGCAACCCATAAAAAAAGTTTGAGAAAAGAAACTTGTACTTATAGAAGAAACGAAGTGGGTGATTCTAGTGGGTCTCATCAACTCATCTTGTTTTATTTTCATCTTAAAATTTTCTCATAATGATATTGGAGAAAATATCGCTGAAATTTTTATCATCTACCACAATATACATACAGTTCAACTGATGAACGAATTTTGTAAAAATACTAGAGCTATAGTGTCATTTACAAGGTATTTTTAAGTTTAACACAATGTATTTGGATATTTTCTTTTGGGAGCCAAGAAATAGCAAATTTAGACGCACAAATTCTTTGCAACGGGATTATTGTTAGTATTTTCCTTCAGCCAATACTCAACTCAAACCGAGTAAAAACAATGAATATACTTTTAAATGGATCATTCAAAACTGATTTATTATTATTATTATTATTATTATTATTATTATTATTTTATTTTGTTACGTAAAGGATATACTTTGTTTAAAATTCAATTAAAAACTCATTATATTGAGTTGAATTACTATCTCATTTTATTTTGGTCATGCTTGAGATTTTGTAGCTATGGACAATTCAATTATCTTGATTTAGAAAAGCTCGACAACTCACTTTTTAGAAAATAAAATCAGCCAAAACTCTTAAAGCAATTCACCAAGACACCAATCAGATTGCTTCTTCCGCTAAAACAATCAGAAAACAGTGTTCCATCTAGAAAATAGAGTGGTGGATCGAATGGCAAAGCAATTAACCTTTTTCTCAATAAAAAGATATTAAAACTTTTCTGTTTGTAATTTTGTTTCTAAGATATACTTTATTAGCACTAACTCAAATTAAAATGTTGAGAATGATAAACCTTTGTTTTGAAAGTTGATTGGGAAAATGTTGAGCCAAAAAAATCATGGAAAAAAATGTAAATTATGTATGGACCTACGATCGCTCATATTTAAGGCAGCTCAGATTTTTTTGCATCAACGTCACTAAAAGCAATGTTGGCTTAAGTAGTTTTCTCACTAAAGAAATGTTGCTTAGGTCCCAACTCCCAAGCAACTTTTGTTGACAAGCTTTTTTTTGTCGCTTCCTTTTGTTGCTAGCGTCTAAGAGCATGTTTATTGGGAGTGCTTAGGGAGGGTGCTTAAGGGAGTGAAATGCTTAGTTTTGAAGAGAGAGAGTGTTGAAAGTGCTTAATTAAGCACTTTCAACACTTTCTCCCTTCAAAACTAAGCACCCCACTTCTTTAAGCACCACTTAAGCACCCTCCCAATAAACATGCTCTAAGTGCAGAACAAAGCCATTTCTTGCATAAGTTGTACTAATTACAAACAAAGACATATTAGTTTCAATTAAAAAATAGATAGCGAAAATTTCATCATAAAACTGAATCGATCTCTTTAAGAAGTTTATAAAATTTAAAAAGTGTCGGCCATTAATTGACTGTGGAAGAGGAAAATAAGTTAAAAGGGGAAGGGTCGATTAAAAAGGAGAGTGACAACTATCCAACCCCAAATTGTTTGCTTGCTTTCTTCCAACTCTATTTGTCCGTTTCCCTATTCCTCTTGGAATCTCTGTGACTGTATGTGTGTGTCTATGTCTCTTGCTACTTCCCTTGTGTTACATTTACAATATCTTTGAGTTATAAATAATAACTACAGTATCTTAAATAGTTATAGATTAAGGATATGTTTTTGTATGAAACTGTGACAATTGTGACAAAATGGGTATATGCACCAGGTAAACAGTTCTTAAGATTTATCTGCAAGATGACCATTCCTTTTTTTTTTAATAAATATAACTTTGAGGGTAAAACTAAAATTCTAAAATTATAATGGTTGGAATTTTCTGCATATTTAAACAAATACATGATATTTTATCTAATAACATGCTAGTTTTACCAGACAACACATACTATCTTAAAAGGCAGCAAACTGCTGCATATACATATTTAGATTCATTGAGAGAACTAGAAATGTGTTAACTTACACGATCACATTTCTTTCATCTGTTGACATACTATTTAACGTTTATGCCTCTTTAACACTTTTTTATCTGATGAGATGCTATTTTGAGATTATGAAAGTTTTGGATCTTCAGTCCACAATCTCTCCCAGCTTAGAGTCGTTTTGAATTTTTATTTTTGAATTAACAGAAATCTCAAATAAAATTTGAACATAAAAATATAAAAGAACCAACCATCTTATATAGGTGATCTTATATTATTATCACTATACCACTAATATTTTGGTATTTATGATTTTACCATTAACTTCTGAATTTATGTTTGTTAGCAAATTAACCAAGTTATACAGTATAACATCTTTAAATAATACTCTATAAATAATATAATTTTATAGTCTCAAATTAAATTTTTAATTCAGTTACTATATCGATAAATTAATAATATTTATAAATTAATAAAAATTATAGTTTTGGTTTAGTCCCAATATTTTATAAATGTTTTACTATAATATGTCGATTAGGATACATAATGTGAGATTATATATACTCCATCTATTTCATATTAATGCCATTTTAGATCTATGCACACGGATTAAGAAAATACTTAATTTTGTATATTTTCTATATAAAAATATAACTACCTATACATTTAATCATATTTCAAACAATAAAAAAAAATCAGTTGTAGAATAAAATTAATAAATTTTGCATTGAACCAAAAATGATACTTATTTTATTATGAAAAAATTTCTTTATAACTATATTTAATATGAATATAAAGGAAGAAGCACGAGATGAAATTTATTGTGGTAACAACAAGAAATATCGTACTAGAAAAAGCAAGGGTTATGAAATTGATGGTCTGCTCTGCTGCATCTTTATACTAAAAAAGATCGTACGTCTTTTGTAAGGTCTCGTGATTACAAAAGTTAACTCCTTTAGATTTTCTCCCATCATTTCTTTTCGTTTAACCCGCTCGACCAAATCATGACATATGCAGAATTTAATTCATGGATTTAAAACAAAAATATCAATTTCCTACATGGAAAATGCCCTTTTCATTGTGGTTTCTTTCCATTCATTTCTTCCCACTTCTGAATGTGACGACTATGACCACATGGTGCCAGTACCCACGACTAAACAATTTAATATGCAAGTTATTTTTTTCCCTCCATATTATTCATAGAAAATAATACCATAATATATATTTCTTTATAATGATATGACTTTTACCCATCTTTTTACAACTCATTGTTCAAAAAACAAAAGGCAAAAACCCAAAGTGAGCTAATGATAGATTCCAAGTTTTGAAACATGCATGGGTTCTTTCTGATTTCAAAAAATAAAAAAAAACAGGTTGACCAGTTTCAATTGTACTGTTGCTGATCAAGCCATGGCCAAAAACCAGAGTGGTCATCCATTGCACAGAACATGTTACTGATACTGTTCTCTTCTTTAACCATACTCTGTCCTGAAGACGAGTTTTGAAAGAATTGCAACGTGGTTGTTGTGGTCGTTGCGGTGGCTGGTGAAGGTTGAAATAAGTTTCCACCAACAGTCTGCGGCGCTGGTGGGTGGCCGCCTGTTATTGTGCTGTCGTTTGATGGTGGTGCCGTCGAGATGTCGAGTCTGAGATTATCGGAACTGTTATCACTTCTGTTACTGCAAGATCCTTCTGTTTCTTTGTTCAGGTTTATTGATTCTGTTTGTTCTCTGTTCTTTAAACCCATTATCTAAACATTTCACAACAAAATTATGAAAATTAGACTCGGATTAAGTAAAAAAAAAATGGAGAGTACTGTATAATGTGATAAGCATAAGAATCTATTGTTTTCAAATTTCTGGTTCTGACAAGAGGAAAGAAAAGAAAAGATACTGATGTTTAAAAAGTCATGAATCATGTTGAGTTTATTAACCCTACTTGAAAGCAACTCCTGATTCCAATAATTATTATCAAAATAAAATAAACACTTAATCTTTCACGTTTTCAAAAAAAAAAAAATTTTAAAAAAATCATCTTTTACCCTATAAAAATTATGAGATTATAAAAACCAAAATAAAACTTGATCTTTCACATTAATCAAATAGAAAATTGGGTCAGTTTTGAACATATGCAAATGAAATATTAATCTAGGGCCTCTACTATTTTAAGAATTAATGTACATATATAAAAGATCGGGATTGTTAAAACACAAAAAATTATTAAAAATCATAGCAATAAGTTATATATAGCCATGCCTTTTCTCAAAAAAAAAAAAAGTTATATATAGCCCCAATCTAGATAGAACTGAAACAAAATTTAGTTCAATCTAAATTGTGACAGAAATTGTGAGATTGTAAACCAAGAAAGCTTGATATTTCACAATTCAAGAAAGAAAGAAAGTAAAGATATGTTCTAAATTTTGTGTTAAAAAAAAATATGTTCTAAAAAATTAAACAAACTATTTATCCCTGGTGTAATCAAACACATAAAACTGAATATAAATTAAATTTTCAATGTTTTAAAGAAAATTGTGAGATTAATTACCTCAGCCTGGAGTTTCTGATTGTGAGTTTGAAGAAGATCGTTTTCAGCTTTAAGGGAATCAAACTGTCGTTTAAGTGTATCATAATCTTTCTCAAGCTGCTTTGTCTTCCAGCGAGCTCTTCTGTTCTGAAACCAAATCGCAACCTGTCTTGGCTGTAAGCCCAAGGCACGAGCCAACTGCATTTTCCTCTCTGGTTCAAGTTTGTTTGCAGTCTCGAAGTTCTTCTCTAACGTCTTCACTTGCTCCATGTTCAATCTCCTCTTCTTCTCTCCCATTTGAGACCCATCATCAGAATAATCCTCTTCTCCATTCATAATTGATGGAGATAGATATTTGGAATATATCCAAATATCTTAAATATTTAGTTTATAAGTTATTTTTATATTTATCTTAATTATTTAGAATATCTTAAGATTTTAATAGTTTTCCTATTTCGGTTAAGATTAGGGTTTTATGGCTTTTGTGTTTTCATATAAATAGGCTTCTACGTCTAGAGAACATAAGTTGTCAAAAATAGATGATTTGATAAATAAAAGTCTGTTCCTAAAGAGGTTTCTATAAACCACTGAGAAGAGTATTCTCAAACCCTAAGAGCTTTTAATTAAGCACTGTGAAGAGTATTCACAAACCCTAGTTTCCGGGTATTCTTAGAATCAACGGATCTAGTTCTATCCCTAGAAGCTTCCGCTACATCAGTTGGTATCAGAGCCAAACGGTTCTATTATCTTGATCGCAGATGCATCTACAACAACAACAACTAGTTGAGATCTTGGAAGACTTTAAACAAGATATCAACAAATTTAAAGAAGATGTCAAGAAGATTTGTAAGAAGTTAGAACAAGATTTCAGCAAGGCATTAAATAAGTTCAACCAAGGGTTAAAGAAAATCGAAGAAAAGAAAATCGAAGAAGCACGAGTTCAAGATATGCAATTGGATGATGATGAAGATGATGAGATCTTTATCGAAGATGATGTTCGTGTTATCGACTTTGTTTTCAAAGAAGGATCCTTTGAAAATCGCAGCCGTGCAAAAATAGGGCGAAATTATATTGATGAAGATTTTGTGCAGAATCTGAATAATCTGTTGTGTGCAACCTTTGTGCAAAAACGGATTTGTGAAGATTCAAGTTACATCCGTGCAAAAATCGTGCAAAACAGGTTACTAAAAATTCGAGGAAGAGTTTTTCTTGGAAAACGTTTTGGATTCGAAGAATACGATCAAGATTCGAGGACGAATCTTCTCCAACCCGGAGAGAATGATGGAGATAGATATTTGGAATATATCCAAATATCTTAAATATTTAGTTTATAAGTTATTTTTATATTTATCTTAATTATTTAGAATATCTTAAGATTTTAATAGTTTTCCTATTTCGGTTAAGATTAGGGTTTTATGGCTTTTGTGTTTTCATATAAATAGGCTTCTACGTCTAGAGAACATAAGTTGTCAAAAATAGATGATTTGATAAATAAAAGTCTGTTCCTAAAGAGGTTTCTATAAACCACTGAGAAGAGTATTCTCAAACCCTAAGAGCTTTTAATTAAGCACTGTGAAGAGTATTCACAAACCCTAGTTTCCGGGTATTCTTAGAATCAACGGATCTAGTTCTATCCCTAGAAGCTTCCGCTACATCAATAATGTTCTCAGCTTCTAACCCTTCTATTGGAGATCTCTTTCCTAGAAACGAAGCAAAGCCTGAAAATAGAGCTTTAGAAAACAGAGGAGATCATGAGTAAGTGTATTTATGTATGTACCATGAAGATCTTGAGGTATAGAGAAAGAAGGAGGGATAGGTGCAAGAGAAGGAGGTAGATCTTCGTAAGAGGTTTGGATCATGAAATTTGAAGGGAAAAAAGACATTCCATTATTACAAGACATTATCTCCTGTTTTGCAACAGAAGACAATACTGTTTGCTTAAGCTTTGGTCGTTTCTCTTTAGATTCTTCTTGACATCATCATATAGTTAAGAATTTTGGATCTCAATAATCTTTGTGCTAGTAGGAGACTCAAATGGACAAGAGAAGAGGGAGAAAAAGAAGATAGTGAAATGAATTGGCCTTAGACTATACCACTTATGGTATTTGTTTTCTTCTTTTTCGTTTTATATAGAAAGGCTGATAGAGAAAGGGCATTAAGTTGAAGAATGATAGAGTAATTGATTCTTGTTAGAAATAAAATTAACAAGATCAAAATAGCTTTTAAACTTATTTAACGTAAACGAAACAAAAAAGCATAGTGTACCTCAAATTTGTTTTTTTTTTCATTTTCCACTACATGTAGATATTTTGAAACCAATGTTGGTGGTGGGTTCCAATTTGTATGCTTTAGGATAATAGATTAATTCGTGGTGTGCTGAGATTCATCGATTAGTAAAATCTGGATGTCAATTGAAGTGTAGTTAATAGTTATTGAGTTAAGCCAGAGAAGCATCAAGATGTGGAACAAAAATGTGGTTAGATTAATTTAAAATATATAGTGGTCTTTAATTAACTAATACCCCTAGTATCGTTTTTATGTTACTATCCAAATTCGAGTCAAAATAACAAAAAAACAAAAAACAAAATACACGGTGAAAATAAAGAGATATTTAAGTTATATTAAGAGAGGAAAATCTTGCGTACAATGTGTGAAAAATCAAGTGAAGAAAAAAAAAGTGAGAAAGGAAAGGACTCTACTCTTTCCCCTTGAGAGAGACATGTAGAGGTGTTTTCTCACATTTTCATACTAGTCATTTAATCTTTAATCTTTATCTACTCTCTCTTTCTCTTCTTAGGTTTGTCCCTCTCTTCTTGTAAACCAAAGGAGATGGGTCCAATGATCATCTTAAATCATGAAAATCAAAGTTGTTCCTCTCTCATTTCATACCCAAATAATCTTTAGTTACTGTATAACGGTTAGTACTTATTAACTCTTTAGTTCGAATTTTAACAAAAAAAAAACTCCCTAGTTGGAAACAAAACCAATATTTTAGGGAAAGTTTCACAATATGTAGTAACATCGCAGGTGGATAATGAATGGTCCACCGTCCACTGTTGATCCTATATAGTGTATACACATGCTAGTATGTATATGCCTATAAAAAATTGTATTGTGTCTACATATACCTAACTAGACTTGTAGTATAGTCTATAAATGGTACACAAACAAAGAAAAACCTAGTATTTTTGTTTCTTGGGAAGAACAAGGTTTTTTCCCTGGAATGAAGCCCAAACCCAGTCCAAACCCATTACCACAAACGGAACTGGCCAGGGTGCGTGAATTTGAATTTGATGTCAGCGAAGCAACCACCACTAGGCAGTAGCCAATGCCTAGACGTGGTGTTAATGTGTTATTGATCAGATGGAACATGATGATTTTCAGCTATTTAACTGGATCGTACGTAGTCTCGTATGGTCCCCAAGACGTACAAAAATATTGACATAATGATCTACATATTTATATCATAATGGGTTACAATGAATGAAAGTAAAACTAATACACAAGAAGACACAAAATGAGGTAGAAGTATTTAAGACTTTCGAGAGGTAGAGTTCGTCGTCGATGTTTCTATTCTAGGTGTGTTCTATGTTTTTTTTTTTTTTCTAACAAGAGCTTTCAAGTTAGGAGCAAATTAAAAAATGTTTATAAGCCCATCAGGAATCAAATGAAAACAATACCCGATAACAAAATCTAATAGTCAAGAACTTTTCTTGACCCTAAGCCCAGTTGAAGAATGAAGAGTATTGACTCTTGCTATTTGTCAGTTTTGGAAGAATTGATCGGCGATCAAACCAGAAGAGAAAAGGCGATGTGAGATATTAGGCTTCATGAGGTGCGTGTGTGTTTTTTTTTCCGACCATTTACAGACTCATGTGAACTCTGTAAACCAAATTGGGTGTTATGTATTCATATGGATAGTAAACGACGTCTGTTGCCTCACACTGCATGCTAAGCTATCTGCCATGTTGTTATACGTTTGTGGTATATGAATAATCTCTGAGTTGTTGAAACTTTTCTTCAGACTCTTGATGTCTTCTAAGTAACTTGCGAAAGCCGGCCATTCTTATGGTTTCGATACCATCTTCACCAATTGAGAACAGTCCGTTGCAAATATAACGTTATATTACCTTAAATTCCTCATGTATTTCATCACCCATATAAGTGCTTCGACTTCTGTATGTTACGGGGATTGACTAGCCCTTGTATTTCTAGCTCCCAATAACCCTACAAAGCTTTCCAATGTATTATACCATCCTTGTGTGTATATGTCGGAAAATGTGTTATTTTTAATTAACATATTATTTTGTTTAAATTTGATAATTAACCTAAAAGAATAGAAATAAATTGAAAATGTTGACAGACATATGTTAGAAATATAAAAAAAAAATTAATATTAAACTATTAAGCTATTATCAGTATGAATGAATATGATATTATTTTGCATTATAAAATGATTCTAATGATTTTTATGAAAACTATTATTTAAAGTTATTACTCTTAAAAATGTGAAAAAAACTTAATTGGTGTAGTATGTACATATGTGAAAGAAATTGAAATTTACTTTGCCACGCCTTCTGTTGAATATGATATTACTATGGCCGACTGTTCGTCCTATCCCACACCACTATGAATGATAACAAAAATCTTTACATATATTTATATAGTTTTGTTATTATTTGAACTGAACCACCGTTGTTCCGCAGCAATCTTGCAAATTACTATTCAGAACCATATCATAATTATGCATTATCTCCTAGACTTTTTAGTTTGTTATGCACAAAAATAATGCAAAATATAAGGATAAAATGGTTGTCTTGTTACTTTTAGAATTTGTTCAATTGGATGCATGTATAGATCAAAGCCTTAGTTAATAGAAATTAATTATTTTTTTGTCTCTAATAACTACAATTTCTTGTACTCGACAGATTCTAAAGTATCTGTACCTAGTAGCAAATGCTGTACATATCTGGTAGTCAACCTGATAACTTAAACAGATCTAGATCCATTCTCAAGTTAACTAGCCAAGATGAAGCTATTATTTAGATTTTTTTTTTTTTTTTAACATCGATTAATTGTTTGTTAAAGCGTTAGGTTTGCTAATGCGTAAATATTAACTTACACGTGAATGAGATCCTAATTGGTCTGACCAAGTATCAACATGAAACCCCACACTTCGTTTACTTTAATTAATTCTCACGGGAAACATCATTAACCGGATTGATTTCCTTAAGTAACTGTAGTTCATGTGTTTCTTGCATCGATACGTTACTGCTTTCGCTCGCAAAAAAGAAAACAAAACTAGGGCCGAAAAAGTAGATAAATAGTATTTAAGA